ACCCTTCTCCAGCTTCATACAGCATGTGTCCAGAAAGGTTGTCGACAGATTCTCACCGTTCCGATTTCTCTTCTCCTCTCTTTCTCTGATTTCTCACAACTCCGATTTCTTATAGAATCCTTTCCTTGAAAACGAACTGTACACTCATCTTCGTGGGTCGCGCTCCTAGCCGTGTACGAGGTGAATGGGTCCACAACTGCGCTAGCGTGCCACTTTCTCCGCATAAAAGTGTATAAGGACCGGGCTGGAGGGTAGTGATACCCGGTGCCGACTCCGTATTTCACTTCGGCTAGCCACACTCCCAACCATGGCCGAACGCGCGACTTGTCTGCGCCCTCTCACTTCTGATTGTTCTCAACCGCCTGTTACGTGGTTCGCGAATTCAGTATCGACGAAAATGCTGCACCCTTAGGACAGCTTGGGTGGATTCTTAATGGCAGCCGGGTCACTACCCCCCCCCCCTCCCCACCACTCCCCTACGTTCTTGAGCAGAGAAAGTGGCACGCTGCTGCAGCTTCGGATCCATTCACCTCGCACATGGCAAGGACCGTCCCTTTAGCGAGTGTGCAGTTTGTATCCAAATGAGATGGAGGCATAATATCCACTAAGACCAATTACACGAAAAGACTTCTGCCGCACTCAAAACGCAGTACTGTGATAGGCTCGCAACATTTTCAACACACTTTTTTTCGTAGCATTTTTATTACTATTTGAAATTACATCTTGTTTCATAAACAATAAACACAAAACAACAATGAAGGACAACCAATGTGCTTTTGCACGTGCAGACGATACAAAAGGTAATTAAACAACATGCATACAATTTCTTCTATATGAGAATCAATAAGGAAAGTAAAGCAGAATATAGCGTAAAGCTGCGTTCAGAGTTCGCGATCAAGACTGATTTAGCAATCTCGCTGTGCGACCTTTACGTAATCAATTTACATCTACACCACTACGATGAAACTATCCATAACTTTGCTATGCATACAGACAAAACCGATGGTATGGCAGCGTTCAGACTTCGCGACGGCAGCGCTTCGGTCGCGCGTTCGACGCGATCGATGCAGTCGAAAGCATGCGCATCGATCGTCGAATCGCGCGACCGAAGCGCTGCCGTCGCGAAGTCTGAACGCTGCCTATGAGCGGGGTCAGGACTCTTATCGCGCCTTACTCATCGACATACCTCACTATTTTATCCCCTTGCTCATCGACGCACCAGTTGGGAAGGCACTAGGCCTGACTCCCCACCCATAAGAATAGCCCATAAAGAAATAATCATGATAGAATGCGAGTTAACAAATGGGGCGTTTAAATCGCAAAGTTACAAAAAAAATGAAAAGTCACACAAAATGGAATGGTGACTGAAAAGAAAGTGAAAAGTACGTTGACTTTATACCCTTTCCCATGTAACCGGTATTATGAAGGCAGGTCCTACTTTGTGGATCTCGAAGGAACGGTGGTAGTACCCGGTCGGCGGGGTGGGGGTTAGTATCTGCTCTTCTCCGCACTCTCGACAATAGTACACGTTGGTGGAAAACTGGGGAATTTCTCTGAAATAGTGGTAGGATATCTGGAACACTTAGAAAGACGGTTGTGGCGAGAGAAGAGGGTCGTGCCAGAGGGGGAACTTCATGGGAGGATCGCATTTCGCAAAATTTTTCCCAGACGGTAAGACCTGCCCTTTTGGTACTACACAGAAACTATATTATAAATAAACATCGAAACTTTCATGCACAGATACGCGCACAAAAATAGCTATGAAGGAGTGCGAAAAACTCGGTGATTATCATAAACAAACAGACGAGTACCATATCTCTCGCTCACCAGTTCCACGCAATTATCTTTGACTGGTCTTACGGTGAAAGCCGACTTCACCAAGGTTGAAAACCTGTAGAGATTTCGGCCGTCAGTTTATGAAAGGTTTCTTGAAGAAAAAACTCCATACATGAAAATTTCGGCAAATAGAACACTCACTGTTGTAAAGAAATGATCTGATAGAAATCGTATCGTTTCCCCGTCTGTGCTAAATGCCTGCAAACATAACAGATGATCTGATATAGATGTAAAAAAACCAAATGAATGTGAAAAATGTGACGAACTTAATCACTGACGTCACCACAGGATCGAAGCACACTTCACGAAATGCTACTGTTTTCACGAAAGGGAAATACTTCACCAAGTGCTGAAATATGAAACTGATGGATTACAGCATTCTTCCTATTCAAGTTCATCAATTTCTGAATCTCAAGTCCTATACTGGGTTAAGTGCCAACTACGTACTCAAGCTAATCCCGAGAATAATTCCTTTCAGAAGAACTACGCACCAGGCTTCTATAATTAAAGGACCGTCAGTGGCAAATAGCTCTACATGCAGGATACATAACCAGAACGGGTGAGATGGCAGTGTCAATACGACGCCCCCAAACTCCTCCTTACGTACGATCGCTCTAAAAATAACTACCATCTTCAAGATTTTGCTGCTGAGGGGAGTGGAGCATCATGGAACAGGGCTGGCGAGGGGGTGCAGACACCTCCAAAATACCAGAAATAGTGCTTTCCCGGCTAATCGACTGCGGGTAGGGAGGGAGGGGGGAGGGGGAAGGAAGAGTATGTTTCAAAGCGAAATATGTGTCAGTACTCAGCGCCCAAATTTGCCCCCTCCGATGTGTTTCGCACAACGATATTGTTCACTTGTGAAGAAGCCACCGAATAAGAGAAATGTACGAACCGACAATTTGGTACATCCAGCAAATAAAATTACCTTCGCGAGTGCCAAGTCAAGATCCGTATAACCCATCCCACATCCGTTGAACTCGAAAGATTGAATCAAATTGAACACAGGATGTTCAACAATACAGGTGAACTGAAACCATTGATTATGGGTGAAGATCAAGAGAGAATAAGAAATGACAATCTGTAGGAGATTAGTGGCAACAAACTGGTGAGGCTGCACATTGTAAGTGAACAGATCGGGGCAGCAGCCGCAGTAGCGTGCCATTTCCTCCGGTCAAAGGTGCAGGGGAATGGGACTGGAGGGAAACACTGGTGTCGTCTTAATACTCCATCCCGCTGTCGCAAGGCCAGCCATAGGCCTAACCATAGCCAAACGCGCTACCTGTATAAGCTTTCTCTTCTGGTTATTCTCTACCACTGAGTATGTGGTCGTTGCGGGACCTCAGCATCGACGCAAGTGTTGCACCTTGCGGATAGCGCGCAGGGTACTCGGAGGTGAGTGAACAATCTGTCTTTGAATTGCGCTTGCGGAAGGATTGGTTTGCAGCAGTCAACTTACATTACTCATAATGCATCGCAAGCGGATCTACCATCAGATCAGCAGCTCTTTTTGTTCTGCGTCGAACAATTCAGTAAACCCACCCTGGACAAGGAGAGATGAGTCAAAGATGAACAATTCGATACGAGACACGAGAACTCGAAATCTAGTCGAACGAATGCGAATATTCGAAGGCACCTGCAATCTGAACACTAAAAGTCGCGGTCTCAAAAAATCTCCTGAAGAATTTGATTTTTAATGAACGAATGAACAAAGGCAGTGCGGCAGTCAAACTGTAGGATCATGCCACACTATCCCCCGATTCGAACAAAAGCCGATTAGAAGTACGAAAAGCGACGTTGAGGACAGAGATGAAAAGAAAGCGGAAGTCTACGGATAGTTACCAGTATGTAAGGGTACGATCTACAAGTGAAGAGTAGAGCAAAGAGGACATCAGTGAACAAAACCGGAAGGATGCTCACCTCAAGTAACGCCAACATCTCTCTAACCAAATTTTGAGTAACCCGAAAACACTGTTTGCCTCCTCTTCGATGTTCTAAACAACAGTGAACTTGATAATTTGTATCAATTACTAAGTGGAAGAGCAAAAAAACTTACACATCGTTGACGCTGTTCCTTTATAAGTTGGACCGACCCAATATTTAGTTCAGCTATCCTGAACAGAAAGGTACTGTGGCTCACAGAGATAGGTTCAAAGGCGCCAAGGTAGTTAAGGAGAGGAGCACTCGGTCGTGTTCATGTGACCCTTCCCCTAAGCATGACTTAGGATTAGGTAGCGATCACTAGAGCCGCCCCAGAAAAGTCTCACAGAGAATAAACTCTTCACATTCAGCCCGAGTCCTAGTTAGGGGAATGGAAACAGAAGCTCTGTCCAGCACTGACAGATCCACCCTCTCCTCTTGGGCTGCAGAAAGCTCGAAATTTACGCAAGAAATGAGCACAACAAATCTAAAACGCTACAACTAGCCTTCCAGTGAATTCGATTAGTACTTCTACAATATTTTCAGCAAATTTGTAATCAACCATCAGAAGTGCACAACGCTTCCATCCAGATGAGTCACAGCCTATTTTACAACGAAATAGAAGTAGTCTGAGAACTGGCTGAAAGCAGGTATAGTGAATAAATGTCAGAAATTCAGACTTGTTCGCTGCTGATGCCGTAGCGTATCAGCAGGGTAGGTGAATTTTGGCGAAGCGCCAGCTCAGTTTTCACCAATCTTTGTCGGCTCGCTCGTTGAACGGACTGGCGAAGAATGGGCCTGCTGTTGTTTTTTCTTGAGGTGGTGGCTGTTCCGAGAGCCAGCCGCCCTGAATCACCAAGCATCGCAACGAAACAAAAATCTGTTAATTTTCCTACTGGGCCGACTCACAGCAAAAATCCGGATGGTCTTCTTCGCGACAAGAATCGAATCTGACGAGTTAAGTTATTAGTATGAACGTAATGTGGTTGAGCATTCAATGCTTTTACAGCTTCGCTGAGAGGGACATCATAGAAATCTAAAGAACAGTACAATTAAAATCGCTTCTTCGTCGTCAATCATGGCTTCCAAGTGAACCAACCTCCTATTCGTGAGACGTTATTTCCGCAAACATCGTTATAAAAACAGATGAAAAGTGGAGGACCATAACCCTCCGAGAGTGAACCAAAATCGGTTTCGGCTATAGTTGGAGTATCAACTATAGGCCATGGAGTTGATCTAAATGAAAAAAATGTTATCGCTTTCATTTTTCATTGAAGAAGTAGTCAAGCTTCCGCCTTACGCAATCCTCCCTTACACGGAAACTAGACGATCATGATATCCCCTGAGCGCTCATCAGTAAGGCAGCGTTCAGACTTGCCGAGCTGCAATTGTCGCGCTGCAATTGTCGCGCTTCAGTTGTACCAGACTCCAGTTCCCTTTATGTTCTTTCTTCCGGTAGTCAATCCCTTTTTCACGGTTTCTCATTACTACCTGGTTCTTAGCTCCTCTTTTCCACTTCAACATTTAAATTTTAACACAACTAAACAGCAACAAAGAACATTGTTACAGAACGAAAAAGAATTTCGTAATCGGTATCAAAATGATGCACCACTGCAAGACATCAATCATCAATAGCAACCCTGAGACTGAACAATTAAAGTCGAAAACGGTATACAAAATCATTAGTACAGTGTCCTGTATCAAAACTACATTAAAATTAAATGCGTGAAAGTGAAAAGATTAACTAAGATCAGGAAGAAATGAGAACTCAGACCGAAAAGGGATTTGATACTGAAGAAAGTACATAAAGGAAAGCTGCGAGATAGGACGGGTACAATTGAAGCGCGACAATTGCAGCGCTGCAGTTGCAGCGCGACAAGTCTGAATGCTGCCTAAGGAGCGGGAGTATGTGCAAGATAAGACATGGAGGAAAAGGTTAAACCAGCCAACTAGCGAAATATCACTCTAGAACTATCGACAAAAATCATCGCTCTGAAACTTCCGTAGTTCATCTGCTTACATCACGGCGGGCACTAGGTCTTCGTGTTAACTGTTTGATTTCCGTCTTAGGCGTTTATACTTCGCGATCTTGGATCCGATCGCGCGACTACAATCACGGACGCTTCACCGCCACCCGATAGATTGGAATCAGTGCATGAACGCAGCCCAACTCAATGTTAGGCCCGTTGCGGCGGTCTTTCAATTACAGTGAAGCGCCCGAAGTTGCGGACCGCGCGATCGCTTTGAAATCCGCTCGCGCGTACGCGGTAGTAAAGTCGGGGGACGTGTTACATCAGTACGGAAACCGAGCTGACGTCACTGGAATCCCTAGACTCAGGGCTGGTGATTCCATAAAGATCATGCCAAAAACAAAGCCATCTTAAGCCATCGGGTATAAAATCAAACCCGATACACCATCCGTTGTCTAGTAGCACGGCGTACTCCTTGTTGCGGTTCGTATACTTGATAGCATGCTAATCACTGTAGTGAAGTGTGCCCACACTAGCAAATTGATCGCCAACCGTGTTTCATGGTGCATGAAGTTGGCTGGTAATAAGTAAGTACAGACTCTGTCTTCTATGTATAAACTCTAAATATAAACTCTAAACATTATATCTCTCTATAACCATGAGTTCTCTGTGTGTATCTTTGTCTGATCACCCAGAAGATGGAGTCTACGTGAAAAATCGTTTTATAGAGAGGGTCAGGTTTGACACGAATGGGGCATAGGTCAAAACGAACGGAACACCTTTGATTTATGCTAGGCTTCGCCCACAATGGGCGGGGTGTGCACTTACGTGGGCGGAGCCTAAGACAAAAATCTCTTCAAATACTTACAGAGGCGTCAAGAGATTGAGGAAAACAAGTGAACCTTCATACAGCGATACATACAACGAATGAAACGGTAAAGTTTGATGACTTTCGAGAAAGATCTTGTTTTGGCAAATGGCCCAACGAAGCTGGGCAATGCGAGTGGCTCTTTTTTGAAAACCACAGGGGGAATCTCTCTATAGAAGATGAAGGTACGAAACGCTCAAAACGCCGAAGAAAACTATGAATGCAGTAAAACTCCTCCGAGTTTACTTCAAATCGTAGCGCACCTATATGCGTGCATGATAAAAAAAGGTGAATAAACAAGTAGCTGAGATTAGCTCTACTTTGGATGTAAGTTTGTATGTTTTTCACATATTACGTACCACGACGTGAGTTTTTTATAAAACATGAAACCGTAGTAACAATAACATAGTATCGTACAGGTAAAATAAATAGAAGCTCCGGTAATCTAAATAAAAAATTCGGTCAAAAAAACTCGGTAACCATATTAATAGGCAGTTATTTGCGCGCGCCAGTGATAGCGAATGCATAGCGCTCACTTTGTCTGAGTGTGATTCCGTTCAACTACTGATTTTGGGCTCCCGGGATAAAGCTTCACTTTGCGTTCTTCATTTTTCACCTGATCAAATGGATTACATTACTAGAGTAAATAAAATTGTGGACCTTTGCGTACCTGTTGTCCGTGTCAGGAAAGGCTAGTGCCATCGGTCAGTTCTGATGAGCTGTCGATGGTACTAATGGAGGAGCAGACAGATTCGGTTGTTGATGATCCTTCATAGTCGTTATCCATAACACTGTTAGCACTATGCCAGGTTAGACGAAAAAGATACTGGAAAATCCGTCGGTACCTGCAATTGAACTTTACAGTGGACCGAACAAATACTGTGCAGACAGCTTTCGCCTACGGACCAGAGTCGGACAGCCATGGGTAGATGGGCACGGCTGGATGGCCCGCGCAAAGCTTAGCATGCGTGGAAGTTTACGACATAGGAACTGGGACATTTCGACTGGGCTCGTTCCGCCGAACCGCCGCGGTTCGGCGATTGGGCGAAAAGCAATAGATGCGTATCGATTTCGCTGGCGAAAAACGCCAGGGCGATCGAGCTAGCGTTTCGCGAAGGCGAAAAACGTCGCGGTTTGGCGAAACGCCCGTCGATTCGTATCAAAACCCTTTCGCCCAACCGCCAGACTCTTCGCCCAACCGCCAGTCGATACGTATCGAAAGCTTTTCGCCGAAGCGTTTCTTTTGAGAGAAACGCAGGTCCGCAGACTGTGAACAATGCCGTAGACGGACAAGATAACTCGTCGCGCCGTCGCGTGCGGGGTATGGTGCGGTGACGCGTGGCAGTTCCTTGGTGTTCGCTTGACAGCTGCAATTTTTGGTGGTGGTTCCGGCGCGAAAAGCCAGAGTGCAGAGAAATAGAGTACTGCGGATGCCAAGGCACCGAATGTACCTGAGTATAAGTCAGACCTGAATATCCGAAATTGTCCGCTTTCTTACACCCATCCCTGCTGCGGACCAATCGTTGTCGTTGAGTTCTGTCGATACTGAACTTGCAAGCGCGACTTAAGCGAAAAAAATGAGTTCCATAGTTTCTTTTTGGCCAAAAAGGTTTAAGCTAATGGTCCACGCAAAGCCTGTGTAAAAAGTGCGCTACGACACCATACAACGAAACTAGTAAGCTCTATGAGCAGTATATAGGCGTGGGAAAGAAAAACCACACACTTCGCTGCTTTTTTTCGCACCTTGTCGCACTTAATGGAATATATACAACTGTAAAAAAAGAAGAAATAAGAGAGAAAAAATAGTTGGGGGGCACCTTTTCAGAACTGGGCCCTTTATACACAGAAACTGGGACTACCGTAATCTAACGCACTGTTACACCAACATGCCCCGGAACATTATAGGGAGGCGTATTATTTGCAACAGCGGTTGCTATTGTATTCAAGGCTTCTTGGATTTCTAGACCCAGTTCTGCACAAGGAGTCCTTCAAATGCTACCCGGGTGTAGCGCATTGTGGTAGTGGCAAGATGCCACACAGCATTATTAGTTAGTTGACCAGACCGAATATTTTGCTGTCAAATCTACTGTATTGTGACAGATTACGTCCTAAAACGTCGAATTCACGACCTTATCTCGGAAAGTTGTACAGCGGTGAGTTTATGATTTATGATTTATTATCGGCATTCTATTGACAGTGGCACACATAAAAAAGGAAACGCAGAAAAAAATCTCCGATAATCAACCTAGAACTCAGTGGGAAAACAGCATAAAGTTGTTGCGGTGTAAAGGATAAATCAGTGCAGAAGGGCAGTGGCCGCCAACACTGCAAGTCGCATCCCACGCATCAAATAGGACTGCGGATAACAACTTAGTACCTAGGTCCGCCAACTTTACTGAGACCCAGCTCCAACAGCCGCAGGCAAGGATTAGCAATGGGGTGGGGCGACACTTAGGTAAGAAAATATAACATGCTTGATAGTACACAAAACACATTCAAATGTAAGGCGACTCAACACGCACAGTCAAAAATACAACAGTACAGGAAATAAAAATACAAAAATCACTTAATCGCCACTCAGCCTTTCAAAGTGTAATAATTTAGTTTCTGTTCTCAGAACCACCCTTGTGAAATCATAACTTTTCTCACCTTGCTCCTAAAAAAACTAAAATCGACCTTAGGAGAACTCGAATTTATAGTTGCGAATTGTGGGCTCTTCATTGTCGTAGAACTATCGGCTATTATTTTTTTTATAGGCACTGGAGTGGTATTTATGATCCTTGAGCATAATTGAGTCATGCGATCAAGACTCGTAGATGTTCGATTAGGTACTCAGAGCGTGACCTCACCTGAATAGAGAGGTGAATCTAGATTCCGATTGCATTCTACTATTTGCCCCAGCGCGTCACCTCGCCTCATGTTATCCTGCCACAACCTTACCACCCCTTCTCAACCAATAAAGCCACCTGGAATTTGTTTCTAATACTAAAAACCCGTTCGATTTTGGACTATCTGAGGGACATTCATTTCGATGAATTCAATCTACTATGTAAATGGCAGTCCATTGGTATTCAGTAATCTCCAAGGCCAAAGAAGTCTCTTATGCAGTAAATGAAGCCGTCAAGTAAGCGGTGCAAGCAGGGCGTTATAGGACGTAGAGAGTGTCCAGTCAAGTAGCGTACACAGTGTACTGCGCGCTCGGATGTATTCAAACTGTGGGGGTATAGGGCTAATGCCGTTTGGACTTCCAGAAATTCCGGCTGCGAGCTCATTTTCAAATTGCCTAAGTCACCAATATCCACTAAAACTTGTATATAGGGGTAATTCAACATCCTTGATTACGAGTATGACACTCATTCTTGGCGCTGGCGCCAAGAGAGGACACTACGATTACCTCCTGGGCTCAGCCTTAGCAGAGCGCAGGTAACCGCAGTGTCATCCATCAGTGCCAAAAATGAATGTCATATTCGTCATCAGGATGTTGAGTTACCCCTATATACAAGCTTTTAGTGAATTTGGTGATCTTGCCACATTTAAAATGAGCTCGTAGCCGAAATTTCTGGAGTCCAAACGGCATTAGCCGGGTACAATCTTGATCGTTGAAGTGAATCCACTAAGCAGGTTGTGGCAAAGGATAAACGTGCTCAGCTACCTCGGAATTTCTTCCGCTCCTATGTTTGATCAGGAATCATCGCCGCCCCCCCCCTAGCTTAAAATCATTTTTGAACACCTTCCTGAGTTGACTGCCCTCCCTCCTTAACCGAAAATTGGACCATATATCACATTTTTTTTATCCTACAAGAGTGCAAAAGTGACCTGTCTGGGTACAGTATTTACTTTAGGATTTATTCACAACAGCCGTTATTTGTGGTGCGGTTTAGGTAACAGACAGTTATGGCTGGGGATAATTTACAACACCGACAAGCAGACGCAGCTGGAGGCGGAGCGAATCGCGGATGGGACCATCCACAGAGGGTCATTTACAGTCCTTTCCCTTGTCAAAGAGGCTCGTGTTCCTTGCTCTTGAGCATTCTATTGCTGTGTGTCAGTCTTCTGCTTCATTCTCTTTCTCCTCAGAATGTCTTTTCG